TATCTTCTGTCACCAGGGCACCCACCCCAGTTTTTTAAGTTCACGTGCTTTTGATGGGAACCATAACAACAAAGAAGAAACAAACAAAAAAAATCTCCTAGATAGTTGCTCTAGGTGAAACTTCAGAGACTGTGCTTCTGTTTGGTTTTTAATCTATAAAACATACTAGGTTTATTGTGTTTTTTACTGTCACTGCCTGAAAACAACTTAAAGGAAATTTGGTATCATTTTGAAGCACTAGCTATATTATTTCTTTAACCAATTGGATCACTGTAAATCAGAACTGTAAGCAGTCATCTGGTTTGATGGAATATTACACATAGGAGGTTTTTATGTCATGTCACTGCTCTTTGAGCAGTGTTGTAACACCTGCAAAAATGTCACTGACACTTGGTAAAGACTTGGCATGTGTGTGCATGTGTGTAGACAAGACCTGATGATATGAACTTGCTCAGAGTTATTTTGGACTTCTAGTCAAAAGCTTCCTTTTTGAATAGCTTTTTTGTGAAGCCGGTTCTAAATAGCAGTTAATGTGATGGGGCTGAAGATTTCAAAGGGGCCTTCAATTGGAATGTGACTTTTTCTTTTTTAAATACCATTCAGTGTGAATGCCAGCCTGTGTTTCCTCTTTCTCTTCTTTGACATTTGCTTCTTGACCATAGGGGCTTTTACTCAATTCGTACAAAATGAGGGGATGTGTGCATATGTGTGTTCATATATGTGCATGTTTACATGAATACACAGTCGGGGATGAAGTGGATTAATGATATTAATGAATAACAAATTTTTTGTGTTGAGATCTTCAAAGCTGCAAACGTCTTTCGCTTCCTTAAGTTAATTATTAATAGTCAAACTGTTGGAATTAATATCACTAGAATGGGAATGAAACCTCATACAGTCCTTACAGGAGTTCAGGTTCCAGAGCTGCATGTTTTGGAGGTTGTGTTTGCCTCTATCATGATAATCACAATAGCTACAAAAAAGATCTTTGTACTAAGTTTGTGAACAAACTCTCTCTTGGTTCTGGTTGTGGCACTGCAAGTTTTATGCAAGCATTAGAGTTGGTACTCAGCATAATTTCTCCAGCTTCATACAGTCTTGAAATTTGGTAGGTACTTTTCTATCTCAGGAATTGTTTCAGAGCCATTGTGTATTTTTTCCCTGAATTAAAAGTCTTTGTGTAATGAATCAAGAATTTTTAAGAAGGAATTAATTTTTCCTTGGGTCTGTCATCGTGTCTTGTAGCTGTCTCTTGAGCTACTGGGAAGAGATGAGGAGGAGCTCAGGTACGAAGGTACCTACAGGTATGAAGAGTGGTGGCTTTTGCAGAGATTGGTGTTCTGCACATTTCCACTGCTGCCACCTGGCTTCTTCTCCTCCTTCCCTTCTCTCGTAGTGGCTACAGTGCCACTGTATGCAATCCCTGTTTTATTTACGTTATTCCTTAGCAGTCATACCTCTTTGGCTGCATTGTAGGAGTTTCAGTTTCTAATAGCCCTTAGTTTTTCTTGAGAATCCCAGTTCAAGTCCAAGGGTAGGTGTTATTTTTGGAGGGAGTTTTGTTGGCTGGTGAGAGCAGACTTCCTCGAGGGTGTAGTGTGTAGTCAAAGCAGTGTTGATGGCTGTATGTGTTTCTGATCGTAGACATATACTTGCCTTCCAGTAAGGGAAGGCCATGAAAGAATGGGTTTCCCTCAAATAAATTAAAAAACCCAGGTGGATACAAAGTACAGAAATGGGTAATTGCAGTGGAGTAAGGAGTCCCAAGAACATAAATATTACCTGTCTGGAGAAGATCACAAGCCACAAAGTTCAGTGCAAAGGGAAACTGTGGTAGGTGGAAGTAGGGTTTGGGAAGAGGCAGAAGCTAGGGTTGGGATTTTGTGGTCTGCCTCCAAGATGACAAGAGGAAAGATATTTGAGTATAGAACTCAGCAAAGGATGGATAACATAATGAAAACAAAAGTCAAACAGGCCCCACTGCTCTGTGGCCATGAAACTCTTCTGAAGAAAGATGGAGAGTACAGCCCCGGTGTAGTCAGCATTCAGTACGTAGGTATTAGGAGGGGAGGTTTTTTTAGGTTTTTAACTTCGTTTGAACAATACTACATTTGTTTTAAAACAAAATGGAAGAAAAACGTTTCCAAAAGAAAATCTAATTTCATAAAAAGGCAGCCAAAAAAGTAGCAATATACTTTTTTATTAATGCAAAGTAGCAAGTGTCGAGCCAGTTCTCAGCTGGAAGAGAGCTTATTCGCAGATCTTTGCTTATTCAAACATTAATTTTGCTAGATGGTTCTGTTCTCTTAGATAATGTGTCCCAAGCATATTCTGCACACTTGCATGACAGACCTAACGGCCTGGGTACAATTCGTGGAGCTGAAACATCCCAGTTACTGGGAGTAACTGGAGCGTGGAATACAGATCAGCTTGAGTCAGAAAACTCTTTGTGCCTCCCCCACTTCGGTGCATCCCTGAGCCCGCAAGGGTGCAGGCTGATGTCAGACGCCGAGCACCAGTCCCGGGAGACGAGCTCGACTGGGAGGTTTAGCGCTAGGAAATGAAAAGCTGCGGTTGAGGGCTTGCTGCTGAGCCAAGCTGTGCCACAGTGCTCCCAAAATGCGGTGCCTGTGTGCAGTCCTCAGACCCCTCAGCAGTGACAGCTCCTGCTCCATCTATTACAAACAGAGACCTACTTCAGAAGTGTAAGTTGTGCTTTTAAACATATACCTTGTAGTTCCTGGATGTGCCTTCCTCGAATTTAAATGAGGATTTTATTTTTTTTTTCTGGCCTTTTGTTACTGTAGGCACATCTGAACTTGTTTTCTTCCCTCTCCCCAGTCTGATTTGCAGCTTTTGAGGCAGCTGTACTAAGAAAGATTTGAATATATTAATAGGGCTTAAAGACACTTTTCATAGTGACCTTTAAAATAGCTCAAGCTGTGAACTAACGCTAGGCTGGAGTGGGAAGAACTCTTCAGCTTGAGATTTCAGGATAAATGAAGCACAGCACTTTTGTATGCTTCTCTGCGTTTTATTCTACAAAATGACGCAAGTGGTGAATTCAAATCTCAGCTGCCTCTTTCTGAAAAGCTGCTTATTTAGGCAATTGTGACTAAGTTGATGATTTCACTGATCAAAAGTTTTTTTCCTGTTCAGCGAAAGGATAGTTTTTTAAAAATGTACTGCTTAGCTGTGGGCTGGAGTTTTATTTAGGATGTACTGCCTAGGAGAGTGTGGTGCTTTCAGGCATCAATTGAAATTGTGACATGAAAGAGACATTGTCTTTGGCAGAGCAGCTGTGCTCTTCAGCTAATGACAGTGACTTCTAAACTGCTATTAATTAAAAAATAATTGTGAACTGTTGTCATATTCAAACAGTATTTTATCCCACCGATATTTTCTTGAAAGTAAACCTTTTCATTATATTCTCTATTGTATTTGTCCTTGGTGAATAAATGAAGGGCACCCACTTTAAGCTTTGAGCTAAAGAAATGACCATTTTGCAAGATATTTTATGTCCGCAAAGCTGCAGAGGTAGCAGGTTGGTATAGCATGAGCAAATTGCTAACGGGGTCTGCATGATGGAGCTGCTCAGGCAAAATTTTGGGTCGTATTGTTTTAAGGTGTGTGTGTGTGTGTGTGTGTGTGTGTGTGTGTTCATACCCGAGTTTGAACAAGGTGGTGTGTCAAAACTTGTCAGTGGGAAGCACAGAAGTGTATGAAAGAAAACCTTGTCCTCTTGGGAATGTTGGAAGGAAAACTGCGTCATTGGGTTTTAATTACACCGATTAACACTGCTCACTGGAAAAGGCTTGTGGTGATACCATTGCTAAGCATGTTTTTCAGGACTTCCTGTACAGTTCAAATGAGCCGAGGTTTAAACTTGTTCTGTAGGTTCCTATACTGTGACTAAGTAAAAAGGAGGTGATAAACAACCAAGCATCTTGCATCGAAGAGCAGCGAATGGCCTGGAAAGTGCTGCAACGTTGTGTAACCACAGAGCTAAAAGAATTGCAGAGTAGACAGTGAAAACAAGATAATATCTGTTTTATATTTCAGGTTTCCAAGCAGTCGATTTTAGTTCAGGCTACAGTGAGTTTTCCTCCTGTCTTCTGGCACATCTGTTTCATAATGCAAAAGTCTGGAAGAATTGGAAGAGTGATAATGAAAATTAGAAATGTGAATGTGGGTGAAATGGCAACCAGTGTCCCTCCTACTGTAGAGGCATTGAATTAAAAAAAAAGGGGGGAAGAAAAAAGAACAAAAAGCATTGTGTTCATGGATAGCTCAGCAAATACCATTTCTATAATGCATTTGCCTGCACCCAGCAACATGGTGGAGATGGCTGAACAAATTAGGGATGAGAATTTTTGCATTTTTGCAATCTAAAGGCAAAAATCAGTGCTGTTCAGAAAAATGACAGATTGAATGGCCTGTGGCATTTGTGATTGGCAAGTACTGTAGAGTGTGCTGGTGTGTTCAGGAGAAAAGAGAAGCTGCGTAGATGTGCATGGATTGTGCTGCCTGAAATGGGTAAGAAGAGCAGATAATGTGTAAAGGGAATAGTTGGCAGAGTGAGGCAGCAGGGACTGTGTATCTGACTGAAGGAAACAAAATACAAAGAATGAGTTTAAACATTTTCTTGAAGATGCATATCAAGTACCAGAGGTGCTCTGACTTTGACACTTTGACGTGGTTGGGGGTGCTTACACAGAATTCATAGAATCACAGAATGGTTTGGGTTGGAGGGGACCTTAGAGATCATCTGGTCCAACCCCCTGCCATGGGCAGGGACGCCTCCCACCAGACCAGGTTGCCCAAAGCCCTGTCCAACCTGGCCTTGAACACTTCCAGGGAGGGGGCATCCACAGCTTCCCTGGGCAAGCTGTGCCAGTGTCTCACCACCCTCACAGTAAAGAATTTCTTCCTAATATCTAGTCTAAACCTACCCTTTTCCAGTTTAAAACCATTACCCCTGCTCCTGTCATTACATGCCCTTGTAAAATGCCCCCCTCCAGCATTTTTTGCAGGCCCCCTTCAGGTGTTGTAAGGCTGCTGTAAGGTCTCCCCACAGCCTTCTTTTCCCCAGGCTGAACAACCCCAACCCGCATTTCTCAGCTTGTCTTAGTAGGAGAGGTCCTCCAACCCTTTGATCATTTTTGTAGACCTTCTCTGGACTCGCTCCAACAGCTCAATGTCCTTTTTGTGTTGCAGCCCCAGACCTGGACACAGTACTCCAGGTGGAGTCTCACCAGATCAGAGCAGAGGGGCAGAATTGCCTCCCTCGCCCTGCTGGCCACACTTCTTTTTATGCAGCCCAGGATGCAGTTGGCCTTCTGGGCTGCAAGCACACATTGCCGGCTCGTGTTGAGTTTTTTCATCAACTGACACCCCCAAGTCCTTCTCCTTGGGACTGCTCCCAAGCTATTCTCCGCCCAGCCGGTATTTGTGCTTGGGATTGCCTCTACCCAGGTGCAGGGCGTTGCACTTGGCCTTGTTGAACTTCACGAGGTTGGCATAGGCCCACCTCTCAAACCTGTCAAGATCCCTCTGGATAGCATCCCTCCCCTCCAATCTGTCAACCTCACCATGCAGCTTGGTGTCATCAGCAAACTTGGTGAGGGTACATTCAATCCCACTGTCCATGTTGCCAACAGATGTTGAGCAGTGCTGGTCCCAATACTGACCCCTGAAGAACACCACTCATCATGGGATTGGCCAATGGATTGATGGATGAAACAACAGCAAATGCAGTAGTGTATATATGATCAGTGTCCTATACAAAACTAATTGAAATCTAAAACCACTGAGTGCCTTGAAACAGATGGGCTTTCACAGGTGAGCTTTGGTAAAGCTTTCTGTGAAAGCAGGGCACTGTACCCTTGTTTATGCACCCCATCACCTTGCTGGGAACAAGCAGGAGAAGAGGATGTGTCGCCGCCACACTGTAGTGGTTCAGCTTAGTGTTCCAGCAAATGAGCCTGAATCCTCAATGAACAAGTAGCTGGTAACACTGTAAAACCAAAACATGAGTCAAAATCCTTAGTCTTGTTTAGGGTGCCACCTGAATCAGTTGTCAGATTCTGAAGTCGGTGTGATTTGTGCTGTGTAAGGGCTGTGACTAAGAACACATAAGGTGAAATAGGTCTTCAGGTATTCAAAGTTGGCCAGCTTTACTACTGAATTTAAATTTAAGCTAGAAAAGTACTCAGGTTTATCTGTGTTATTATAATTTTTCATGCGAGATACTATAGGAGGTTTTTAATCAGTTTTTAGCCAAAACTAGAACCTACTGATGTTGCAAGCTGAGTTTAGGAGGCCTGGAGTTGCTGCTGATACCCGTCGTTTGAGAGGGATGTAGCAAGCTCTGCCTGGTCCTCAGGGTGCCCAGCCCATCTCTTTGCTGCTCAGAAATGCAAAGCGGGTGCTGAGAAATCCTCTCACCCGCTTTCTCAGCTCTGCAGTTGAGTACAGCAGAAATTGCACAAATCTGTGCACTGAGGAGTGCCTGGGCCTGGTTAGAATGGGAGGGAAGCGCTCTGAAAGAGGTGGTGTAAGGTTATGTCAGACTTGACCATTCAGAAATGATGCTGGATGTATTTAAGCAAGGTAGGGTAAGAAAATAGTAATTAACTTGAAGACAAGTAAATGTTGGAGTAAACTATATGGAAAAGTACCTTCTCTTCTGTGAACCTGGGGAAGCTTTAGCAGCTGGGAGGAGAGAGATCCTGGTGGGATGGTGGGTAAAGCACTTTACATTGGGATGAGAAGGTCATGGTTCATGTTCTGCTCTCTCCATCTGTTTGGACAAGTGACATTAACAAGCAAAGCATCACTTGTTCTGAAATGGGAAGGAGCGTGTGTGTATGTGTGTGTTGGGGGAGGTAGGGAAGTCTGTTTTGTCTCAGTCTTATGCAATGCATTTATATAGCATGACTCACTGATAATCGAGCATGCAGATTATGGCAGTGTCCTATCAGTGTTTTTTTTTCTAGAGAAACTGAGCAGGAAGAGACTTCCACTGCTGCATGGAAACACTGTGACCTGAGTTTGGAGATCCTTGGCCTTGCTTTTGTGTTAATGTGGCCATAACATACAAGTGTTCCTCCTTTATTGTTGTTTGGCATTTCACATTGTTTTTACACTTACTAAGAGTACTGAATCTGGTAGCTGGCTAAGGCTTCCTCTGAAAAATGAACCTATGCCAGTAACCAAGGAAAGAAAAAAAAAATAGTAATTCTGACTTACGGGAATGTAATGCTATTAATCAGTAGAAAGTAAGGACTTTCAGGATATCCTAGAGTAGAATTTGTGGCTGTCACATAAGAATAGTGGGTTTTGTTGTGGGTTTTTTGGAGAACTACTTAATTTACTGTGACAGGGGCTCAAAACATGAGCAACCCCATTTGCAGACATCTACAATGACACAGCTTGAATGCAAGATGATGTTATCTTTTTAATAAGCGGCTTTCTAAATTTCCGTTGTTTAGATTTTGTCTTTAGAATCCCACGTTCTTCTGCAACTTGGATTTTCTGAAGCCTTGAAATGAGCCCAGGTGCTGCTGTACCTTTCTTTCTCTACGGAGAGGGCTCGCTTTGTTCCTGATCATTTAAACTCTAGCAAAGCTGATGTCCTCCACCATATTCCTCTGAAACCTCTCTTTATAAGGAAGCAGAAGATGCAGCTGGTTTAAGTTTCCTTGACAGCAAAGTGAGCTGAAATTCCCAGGATGCGCTGCTTTTTTTTAACTGAGTTCATGTAAAAAGTTGAGGGGCTGGACCAGTTTGGAAATTACTCAAATATGAAAACCACCTAGATAGGGGAAGTAGCAGTTGATGATATTTGGAGAGCATGGATTTCTTACAGCAGCTTTGCTGTCAAAAGTGCGTTGTGTAGGTACACCCTCAGTGAAACCCTAACTTGTTTGAGGACAGACTGTGAAGTAATGATTTCTACTATGGTCTGCCATTTGTATGGCTGTTGGTTAGTTGATCATTTTGCAATAACACCTTGGATGTGTGAGGAGAGGTCATTAAACAAGTAAGTGTGGGAGGGAAAAAGGTTCTGAAACATCTGTGTCTTCCTATTAGTGCTTGACACCTTTGAACTATCTATACTCGATTAAATATGACCCATTTATGCTTGTGTATTACCTGTGTAAACCGCCTGTAAGGCCAGATGTCACTTAACTAGAATAAAGAGCAGAGTAATAAAATACAGTGCAAATGGCTTTATTCTGTGATCGTTGCTTGGATGGGGAAACATTTAGGAGCTGTCTTTGAGCATCAGTTGCCTAGAGCAGTGGATTTGATCCTGTGTCTGTTGTTCCCTGGATGGACCCAAAATCTGCAGATGTCTTTGTTCCTGTATTTCAATTAATGCAGAAACCGATTGCAGCACTTAAGTTGTACTTTAATTACTTTCTGAATTATTTGGCCTCTTGTTTTATTGGCAGAATTCATTTCAGATGAAAAAACTGAAGAATCCAATGTAATTTTAATTGTCTTGGTAATTTGATCTTAATTTGCTTAAATATCTTGTGTACACAGTGAGGAGCTAGGAGAATTCATGGAGGTGAAAGGTGCCAACAGCCCTGGGATCCTTGTGCTGACCACAGGCCTCAGCAAACCCTTTATGCGTCTGGATAAATACCCCACGTTACTCAAAGAACTTGAAAGGCACATGGAGGTATATCTTATCAGCATTTATGTTCCAGCTTAATGATGATTTGACAACAATTATTTTAAAGGTACATGTCAAACATGATGGGACCCAAAATTACATTTGCTTGCTCTTCCGTCAGCCTTCTAAACTATGGGCTGCAGTGGTTTAAAATTTAGTGCAGTAAAGCTTCCTGTAAAAGCTAAACATTTAAACTAGGCAGGGAAGCTCATCTTCACTCCCAGAACAGTCTTGCAGGGTCATTGGTTGACCTGGCATCAAATGTGTCTCCCACTTACTACTCAAGGCTACTTTATCTTGTAGGAGGAGGGCAGCTTCTCGTCTTAGGACCTCAGTGTCGAACACATCAGCAGAATAGTCCCTTTGACTTCTACTGAATGCTATCCAAAAATGATCTTTCCAATATGGGAAGGTGTTCAAGGAGCTACTGTTTATGCCTTTGCATTTCCTAGGTTAGGTTTTTTTGGAATGTAAAGGAGGGAGAGAAATAGAAAACTTACGGATCTTTGTTTTGTCACACAACTTGGTTTGTCAGTCAGTGGTAATGGAACACTCTAGTCCGTAAGGAATCTCATTTGTGACAAAGCTAACTTGCCAAATAAAACTCTTTAAAATAAACACTTCCCTATTAGTATTTCAAAATCTCTTGTACATTAGGTCTTGTAAGACTTCCTTGGCTCTTACTATAGGCATAAGTAGGAATGTTGTAAGTGACTCTTCATTTTTACTGCAAGCCACCAGTGTTTGATGTAAAAGGAAGAAGGCTGTGAAAAGAGAGCTGATAGGTCTACAACTTCTATTTTACATAAGTGTTTTATTTGGTTTTAGTTAAGCCTCTAAATTGTTTTTATTAATTTTATTAGAACTAAAGTTTTTATTGTATGTTTTCTCCATTGTTTTTAGGATTATCATCCGGATCGTCCAGATATTCAAAAATCCATGACTGCCTTCAAAAATCTTTCTGTAAGAGTGATTAAAAAAAATAGATGGATATATTTTAAGTAGACTGTTTTCTAATTTCATCCTCCTTTATTGCTTGAAAAAAGTGATGCTTTTTTTGTAAATGTTTGTATAAGAAACTTTTGAAAGCCTGGAAATTGATGCTGTTTGTGGGCAGAGCTAAGCATGGTGATTTGCTGGGGAGTTACAGCAAATAGAGTGTTGATGCACGAGCCATGCAGGCATTCTGCACCTCTTGGTCTGCCCTCTCGCTTGTGCTTCGTCCACCTTTCTACTGCTGCTAGCATCACTACTGTCATGAAGAGGAGCTACTTTACAACAACTGAGTGTGTCTCCTGAGGTTTTTCTAAAGTGCGTTCCTTCTAGGGCAATGGTGCTGGAGTTGTAGAAGAGGAGGATGAAGGGGAAAGTGCTAGTGAAGTTCAGAAGATCTGAAATTTGTAGTAATAATTGGAGAAGGAAGCCTAATTTGAACAGATGAGCTATCTGTTATTGTCTTGGGGAAAAAAAAATAAGTCAGCTGCAATAATCATATATTTAATGCAATCTCAGTTACAAGAAACTTAATCTTTTGTGTTTCCTGTTAGGAGTATGCTGGTGGTAACCTGGCATTTTCTATTTTTTTATTTCTTTAAAGCAAAAATTTAGTGTTATCTGTGTTCAGAAGAGGTTTGGAGATCCTGCTCTGTTGGGTGCTTTACAAGCAAGAGGAAACAATTCTTGTTGAGAAAAATTCTAATGAATGGGAGTAGAGCTAGTAGAGTAGGATGGAGACATTTAATAAAAACAGGAACACAAGGTTATACACACTCATATTTTTCACAACTGATGTAGCTCTTTTCACTAAATAAAGATGTGGTGTTGTATTTGTGTAAAATGTGTATTTGTGACAGCTGTGTTACTTGTTTTCTGCTGTGCCTAGCTATATTTGGTTGGAAGTACAAAAATTTAAAATGAAAGGAGATATTTGAGAAACAGAGCTATGGCTAGGAATTTGGAAGGGTAATTGAAGCTAACATATTGAAAAGAAAAGTGATAATACTGAAGTTAGTTTTATAAGAAAAATTAGTTTTATAAGAAATGCTGGTAATGGTCCTCTAAATGAAAGTAAGTGCTAACTGTTTACTACAAGCACAACAGTAAATATAACTGTACTGGTATTTCTACCCTTAACTCACTCCAAATTGATAGAGTTAATAGTGACGGTATTTTTCCCTGTGTTTGTTAGGCACAATGTCAAGAAGTACGGAAGCGGAAAGAACTTGAACTGCAAATACTGACGGAAGCTATCCGCTGCTGGGAGGGAGAGGATATTAAAACACTCGGCAATGTGATTTACATGTCCCAGGTCATGATTCAGTGTGCTGGAAGTGAGGTAATGTCCATCTCATCTTTACTCTCGGTCTTTCTTTCCATTTTGAATAAAACTAATTGTGACCGTTATGCAGCAGAAATAAACAGGATGCTTCAGAGATACTAATCTAGACTAAAGTCTTTCTCTACTGATTTAAGGCTTTTATTATAAAATATGAACTAAATTTCCTTGAAGATGGATAGTCTCATCTGTAAATCTTGGTCTCATGATTTACTCTCATGAGTAATTCTCATAAATTTACTGAAATGTAACTAAATCTAGCAGTAACAAACATTGTAAGATGATTTTGCAGGACTGTTTTCAAAGTGCATAATTAAACAGGATTTTCCATGTGTAGTGACATTACAGGATCATTTTGCATAGCAGTTATTACAGCATGTTTTAAATAACAAACTTTCAAGTTTCATGTTGTAAGGTGTCTGAGGCACACTGTTTCCAAGTGTTTTGGGCACTTTGCTCAAGTAGTAAATTTTGAAATAGAAGCTTAGGAATCAAGTGGTTCTGAAGAAATAGAATAAAAGGTATAGGAAGTCAAAGGTGACACTGCAAAGTCTGGAGTGGTTTTTTTTGAACACAAAGAAACATAAAACATAAAACCAAAAGCTTGTCCTACCAGAAATAATGTTAAAATAATCTTAAAAGGAAGTGCTAACAGAAAGGAAATGTTATACAGATTACTGACATGTTTTTACTGTCAGTTGTTCCCCTGTAAAATCAGTGAAGCTTTGAACTTGGTGGGGGCTTTGGAATTGCAACCTCATTCAGTCAGTTTCCTCCCTTAGAACAAAGATGTCCATAAATATGAAGAAAGAGAAAAATGTTTATGCAAGTGAATATTTCAGAATTCGTCACCCGATATATTTCTCTCGGATATTTTGTTATGTGTTAAAATAAATAAAGAAGATTCAGTAGGGTTGATGGTGCATCTTCTGCAATCATGTCTCTTCTTGTAGTCTTAAAAAACAAAACACCACCCCACACTCTCATCATGAACTAAAATGCCAAATGTAATGGGCTTTTAGAAGGTTCTGCATAGCGTTACAGCTTTTTGGGTAGATATGGAACACCTTCATTTGTGCAAAAGCAATTGGTTTTGGTTCTGTCTTTTTTAAAATTATATTGACATTTATAAAAGTTTACTAAAAAAGAGAAAGAAACGTTAAAACTTGGTAAGGACTTGTACTGTTTTGCAGAGATACTTGAAATTGGGACGGTGGCTTTGTCGGTGGATATATTTCTTTTCTCATTAAAATTAAAACTTATACCTTAATGCTTCTCTCTTTCATTGTTTGTCTATAGTGTTAGATTTAAGAGTAAACCTCCTTCTTCTGTAAAAAATAACCCCCAAACAAAGGAAAACTTCATAAGTGAAACCAGCAAATTAAAACGAGAACCAAGTAATGAGTGTTTTCATTGTGAATATAAATGTTATTACTTTTCTTTCACCTTTTTTTTTTTATGTTGGGGCTTAATCAAAATAATGCAGAACTTCTGATCTCTCCAATTTGAGAGACTACTATCTTGGCATTACCATAATAGCATCCATCTACACTATATTAATATATCCAATGTGTCATTTTGGTTTTGCTGAAATCAGCAAAACGGTTGTTACATTAAACAAGGTCAGTATTTCACCCAGATTTTTTTTTTTTAAATTCTATGGAGAGTTAATTTTGCCAGGATCAAAATTATTTGTGGAGTAATTACAGAGTTGTAGCATTGAGGGTAGTTTTTAATAATATAAAACAGAAAAAAGGGAGGAGGGAGCTTGTGATGTTGTATTTACTTTTTAATTTTCTTTTTCTTCTTTTTTTGATAAGGAAAAGAATGAAAGGTATCTTCTTCTCTTCCCTAACATTTTGCTAATGTTGTCTGCCAGCCCGAGAATGAGTGGGTTTATCTATCAGGTAAGGTAATACATGTACATATGTGTATAAATGAGGTGTCTTTTTTCTAAAAAGTATTTCATAGAAAACTTGGGTTATTAAAATTTTGCATTTATAAAGATAAAAGGCAATTTCTGCAATAGGAGCTGGCCATCTGTTTTATAAAATTCTGGGCTAGAAGCCTGGGTATGATTTTTGCAGCTGTGACTGTCAGCAAGGAGCTTATTACCTTGTTACTAGCAGCTGTGAGAGGAAGTTTTGGTAGCTTTTCAGATCTACGTAGGAGACTGTTGCTGTTGTACAGATTTGTTAGTGCTCTTTTAATAGCTGCTCAAGTTATACCAAAACTCTACTGCACTCCTGAGCTTGCATCGGTGTGAGGTAGGCTGTGCTCTGATCTGTTTCTTTAGGTGTGTCTATGAGTGTTCTCTCTTTGAATCAGCACTTCTGAAATGAATCTTCTGGATTTCCCTGTTTACCGATACTTGAGTTGCAGTGTAGACGTAGTCGCAGGGCTCAGATTGGACTCCCTCTGGGTGAAGCTGAACTGGAAGGTGTGCTCCAAAAGTGCACTTGATCCGCTACAGCTGCTGAGGCAGATCAAATACGTGGATTGGTGTTCAGTCCATGACCCCAGCCTAGAGCTGGCCCGGCGTAACACCACCCAAAATGCATACTGTGTGGCCTTCAGGTCCTTCACACCAGGTGTTTCACTTCACAAATCCACTACTCGCTGCTGGTAGACATGCTCTTTGAGCTATCTAGCAGGTTTCCCAGCTGAACACTTTTTGCTGGTTTTTCCACTGGAGAAATACAGCAACTCTGCTCTAGTGCAGGAGGATCAGTGCTGATTGGGTTGGCTCCCCTGTAGCTCTAGGACGTGTTTCACGGAAGCACTTGCGTTTTGGGTGTGTAGTTCCAGAGACCCCCTGAGAGGTGAAGTTAAAGCAAATGTGCTGTCCAAGAGTTTCTGAAATCTTTATAAATGTTCAAGCATTGTTATAGAGTTTCCAGACATCACAGTAAAACACCAAAATTTCTGAAAGGACCCTGAGATTTCACCTTTTTGTGAGTACTTCCATAAATCAGGCTCTCAAGCAGTTTGTTCCTTTCTCCTGAGCCGTGATTTGCCTTTCGTGAAGGAATGCTGAAGCATAGTCATTTGGGGTTCCTGTGTGATCAGCTATATGGTCACAGGCTGTGTGACTTTTTTAAGAGCCATTAAATTCCGTAATTCATGTTTAGATTCATAACTTACCTGCCCTGGTAGCAGCTGGATTTGTCCAAGACTGTGGTTCAAATGCACAAAATCGAGTTTCTCTTTGCTTTGTGCTACTCTCCAGAATTCTTGGCCAGTGCTTTATCCCAGCACAGGGGGAAAAAAGATATTAGAGAAGACAGATGAACTCTGTATCTCAAGTGGCGCATCCAGAATTCTTGACTAAGGAAGGTTCTTGTGTACTGGTTACAAAGGCAACCAACTGAAAACTTAGCATGTTAACAGACAAAATGAAATTGAACAGTGAATCTGTCAGGCTTCCTTTTGCTTTTCTTTTGTACATCACGTTTTTTCCTCCTCTCTCCCACCTTTTTCTCCAGGTGCACAGCACTGTTGGGTAAATCAGCAGTTCTCGGTGCATTTGTTTTCAGCTTCTGCTCAGTATGGCCTCAGCCCTTTCTTAGTGTTTGCCATCAAACCCTCTGTCGAATGCAAAACTTTATTTTCTCATAAACTCTCACATGATTTTCCCAACACTGAGAACTTCTCAAATAATAATTACTACATATTCACAGCAAGACATAATTATTTCATCACTGTTTGTGTCTGTCTGGATTGCATAGCATTGGCTGCCTGGACTTTCTAAGATTCTTGTCTCAGACTAGAGATGGATACGGGCACAAGCTCCCTCAGCCATTCCCAGGGAACCGATGCCACTGGAGTTGGCTTCCTATAGTGCACCATCCCTGTGTTTCTGAATATTCCAGTTATCAGCAGGATATGGATGTTCTAGTTGATAATGCTGTTATCTGCCAGTGATAAACTGACATTACAAGAAGCACAAACCATACTTTACAAGGTGGCTTCACAATTCTGTTGAAAGAAAGGGAATATAAATAAATCTTGAGTTCAGTTCCATTTTCTCTGTGTTTTGCTAACTTGGTACTTGTCTCTGGGCATAGCTCAGCTGATCTGTGTTCTCTGTCACCAGTCTTTTGCCTGGTGTTGTCCCCATATTCCTTCTTCAGCAGTTCCTGCACCTCTCTTTCATTCTGGCTGTACGCTGTGTTATTGATGAACCAGCAAACATAAGAGAAGAGAGAATTTTGGGCTGCATTGTAGTGCATGATGCCACCATGTTTCCTTCAGTGGGGAAGCTCTTGCAAAAAACCTCTTCCTTTCTCTTTGGCATCTTGGGTTTGAGCGTGCTTCGTGCATACAGAGTATCAAGTGATTTTTAGTTTCTAAGCTTCTAAGAAACCTTTGTCCATTCTGCAGTCATTAGGAAAGAAAAAGAAAAGTAGTTCTGGGTTGGTTTTTTCCCTTCCCTTGGAGCCAAAATTCCCCAGTACATAGTATTTGCTCTTTTGCCAGCATGTGCTGAATGCTGTTGCTGTGCTGGAGAACGCAAGATCTGTTTTAAAGAACTTTATTATTAAAGTTGCATTTTTGGTAAACCCTTTCATCCTGACAATATTCAGTCTTATTTATTCTTGTGTTTCCAGAGGGCCAGAAAGTTATCCTGAACTGACTTCCCCCCCCCCTCCCCAGCTTGTCTGGGTTTAAAATGAGAGGTTCTCTTCTGCAACTGAAATATGTTCATCTGAAACTTTACAAATCTAAAGGTGTTTTTACTGCTTTTGTTTTCTTTCCCCAAATGTTTCTGTGAGTGAATTTAGTAGTGGGGTTATTAGAGAGATAAATCTGCAGTAAATGATCAATGCATTCGTTTAGTGAAATCTTCCTTTCTAAATCTAAACCTTATTTTGAGAGCTAATGAAACAGTTTGCAAACAAATGTGCTTAAAGATGAGTCACTGTTGTCTCTAACTATGTCATATGGATGACCCTGGAGGTCTCGATTCCAAGAACTTGAGGCTATGACTGACCACTATTACTTTCATATGAATTTCATAGCCTGCATAGGTATCAGATAGACTCATTGAAGTCACAAGTGTCATTTGCAGAAGTTGGGCATGTTAAAAACTTCCATTACAAGGTGTTTGTGTGGACTTTTTAGTATTTTTAAACCCATAAATGTGCGTGTGTTTGCCAGTTTACTGTGTATGTCTTTGTTCAGAGCTTTAAGTTTGTATATTCTTCTCTTGGTAATCATTTTGTGTGGTTTTGGATTTAATTGTTACTGCTTCTTTTTAGGGAAAACTTCCAACGACAGGAATGACTATCACAAAGCTAGAAGACACTGAAAACCATAAAAATGCATTTGAAATATCAGGTATTGACCATAAGTATTTTGATTTACTACTTGTTCCAGGATATGCTATTTCAAACGTCAAATGTTCTGTCTTAACAGAGGGAAAAGGTTTTTCATTGTGAGGGTGACCAAGCCCTAGCACAGGTTGCCTGGCGAGATCTGCATCCTTTTAGATACTCAAAAGCTGGGCAGCTGGGTCTGTGTCTGTGCTTGAGCAGGGGGCTGGATGACCTACAGAGGTCCCTTGCAGCCTCAGCCATCCTCTGAATGTACATACTTTGTAAGGCAGCTACTCAGAGCCTCACTTGAAAGCTACTTTTTACTATTTGTCTTAAGCAGTTAACAAACTGTTGTTGTATGGGATTAATCCCCAAAATTCTGTATTGTAATAAATGGAGGCAGTAGCCTTGGAGAACAGCCTTTATAACGAAGCAGTTCAAAGTAAGGTACTCACTGGAAGAAAAAGAAATTCCAGAGACTTTGGAAGAGCTTTGAGCAAGAGCTTTCTTCTAGAAATGGTCCACGACTTTCCTGAGACACCTTTAGCATCTTTGCTAATGGTGGTTGCCGTTGTGCTTACCTTGGGTGATTTCTGTTAAGTCACTTGTTTCAGCATGTACCTTATTTCCTTGGGGTATTTAGAGGACACTGGGAGCAGGGTCCACGTGGTGGAGTTTCATGCTTTTGTTCATTTCCTGAATCAATTCTGCCTCCAAGCAGGTTGCATTTAAGTAATTTTGACGCACTCAAGTGGCAGGCAGCATCACACATCAGTGCTATGAAGCAGAGGGGGAAATAATCTGGTTGGTGCATGTTATTCTGAGATAATAGCTGTGCAGCTGACCTCAGATGAGATATGTGATGGGTTAAAATGGAGCTAACTGCAGAAATTAAAGTAATCTTTGGTTAAGATGGCTTTCCCAAGTGACTTTTGCCTGAGCTTTAGTACTAGATTCAGACCAATTTTATGCCTTTTTCTGAGAGAAGGTCAGTGACTTCTATTTTATACCTTTTCCTATAATGTAGCTTATAGACTCAAGAATGACATTATAGGCTATATGCTGGCTTTCTTGGGGAAGATGGAGAAGCATAAGCTCCTGTCTCCTACATCTATTTCTTATCATTAAAGGTTGTGTTTAATTATTAGGAGTGCGGAAAAAAGGGAGAACTCTTATGGTTGATGCAGGAGCAAATACATGGAGGAAATGTCTGTTACAGCCTAGAAAAGTGAGATACTGTGTACTGAAAATACAGGTTAAAATTTTTGCTTAGTACTTAGAGGGTATAATGTTTTAGGAACTGATTGTCTTCATAATCATGTCACATTGACTAAGTTGTTCTTCTGTGGTTTCCTACATCTTCTTCTGTTTTCTGTCACCTAGGAAATATGATTGAAAGGATACTGGTGTCTTGTAACAACCAACAAGATTTGCATGAATGGGTGGATCACCTTCAGAAGCAAACCAAAGTCACCACTGTTGGGAATCCCACCATTAAACCTCACTCTGTGCCATCTCACACAGTAAGAAATGGCTTCTGGATTGAAGTGAAAGAGCAGCATATGCTCAATTAGGTTATCTGGCAAATGTCCCACTATGTAAAGCATTTTTGTAGCCATTAGTAACAGGAACTGAATGTTATGACTGTAATTTAATGGGTCAAAAGATCATTCTATTTTTAATTGTGTGAACAAATAAGAAAATGCTTAGATCTTCATGTAATAATTTAACGGTGTAAAAGAAAATTCATTATCATTACTTTTTCTATTTTGTCTAAGTGATACATCACAGTTTTTTGAGTGTCCCTAGACCAGTAGGTTTTAATTGATGATGTACTTGACAGGCTGTGGAGAAACAATTTCCTTAAATACCTTGTTTTGGGTTCTGCATTTGAGCTGTTGGATATGAATGGATTTAAATTTAGCTCCATCCTTAGTGGTGAGAGAATTGGCAGCAGGGCTGCTTGTAGCTGTTTCTTCTTTAGTGCATGCTCTGTCTGTGGTAGACAATTAAAAATTCTTTAAGCTCCCTTTTCCAAATAATAATTTGGCGTCAAAATTTTCGAAGGCCATCTGCAATAACCAAAAGCACTAGACAGTGAGTGAGATTATTTCACCACTCCTTGATACTATGTCTTTGTCATGATTGGTTTTTTTTCCTTCCCATCACCTCTGTGTCTTTGACAGCTTCCTTCCCATCCAGTAACACCCTCCAGCAAGCATTCAGACAGCAAGCCAATACCACTGACTCCTGCGTACCACACTCTCCCTCATCCGTCACATCATGGAACTCCACACACCACGATAAACTGGGGACCTCTGGAACCTCCAAAAACCCCCAAGCCTTGGAGTCTGAGCTGCTTACGGCCTGCACCTCCATTACGGCCTTCAGCAGCGCTTTGTTATAAAGAGGTGAGATGCAGCAGCTGAGAAATAATGACTATGTAGCAGGCCTGCAATGGGAAATTTAACTTTCTTTTTTACATTTTACAGTTTCGTCCTTTTTTTTATATAAAGATCATTTAACAGCCAATGCTGAATCAATGGTAAGGGACTAGTGTATGCATTTCAAGCAGCAATTTAGTCTTGCAGCTCAGAAAATACTGAGGTGTGTTATGAGAGGCTTCCCCAACCTCCCCCCAGTGCATCCACTTATTTCCACTCTTCATCCAGTTAATAAATTAAGATTTTAAAATTATTTTTCCTAACTAGCAATTCTTTGGGTATGTTGATTATCCAGGCTTACTCCAAAGAGTCTAGGGTAAGGCATCATATGGTATTTCAAAGTGCTGTATCAACTTATTCTAAGCAGCGTCTGTGGTATAGCTGACTCTTGGTTTCTTGTTATTTACTAGATAACAATAGCATATTTCAAAAAATGTATTACTAATTGTCAAAATATTTGTAATTTTTTTGAACTCAAAATCTCATAGCTAATGCTGCTATTACAAAAAAAAAAAGGCAAGCAGCTTAGATTTGAAGATGGTGGTGTAATTTTTAATTAGCAATGGTATAAACCAGGAATCTGTTCCAATAAAAATAAAATGTGATGTTTTCACCAGAAAAAGATGGAGACAGTAGGTAAATTTTGTCCTGCCACTACATTTCTGCATGGCTTTATAAATCGTAGGAAAACATTAGATTTGTGTTGGAAGGCTGGCTTGGTGATCTCTCCTGTTTCAGTATCTTTGTCATGCCTTCTCCTGATACTAATTTAGTGTGAAGCAGCAGATCCCAGAAAGAATCATGTAGTTTTGCCTAAGAATATTTTATTCTGTGAGCATGAGACACTGACAGAAAAATTTTACTTTGCAGATGTGTAAATTGCGATTTCCTGGAAACTGTAGCCTAAACACTGTGCCCCAGTGTGGCCTGGCTGTGTTTCTGTGGTTTATTTTTTTTGTGATGGCACTACTGTGTGTGACTTTTTTATTTTCTTTTGTAAATCCTCTAAACAACAGGGAAAAAGTGATCTGCAATTGGAATGTTAGTATTTAGACTTAGTGGCTACTAGAGACTCTTCTGCTTGGCCCATACTATATGCTCATTTCGTAATTTAAGTTCCTTCCATGTTTTCACGTGTAGGGCACTAAATTCTCCAGTGTGCTAAACTTTCAATCGTCTTCACAGTGTTTAGCATACAATGATGTTCAAAACCTGTCTTCAGCTTCTTTGGTCTGTGCTGCTCATTCGCCTTTTTACTTTCTTGTTCTGTATTTTTATAGAGGATGTCTTGTATCCTTAAGGTAAGGGGTAGACCAGTAATATTCCTTTTGGTCCTGTAACCTAACATTGTTCCTGTAAATTAGCATGACTACATTTGGAGCAGAAATGCTGTATTTGTTCCTGTGTTTTCTTTTTTTTGTTGTAGAGCTTTGTAAGAACAGACCTAAACATTTACAGATTCTGACTTGGAAGAGTTTATTTCCTGCCAAACTTTCTTGTTAGGACCTTTTTTTAGTTGCTACTGAGCAGACAGGTGAAATGAGTTCTCTCTTCAAAAGTTAAGGAAAAAACCCCTGTATTAATGTGTGCCTGCCTCTTCCCTTAGCTCTACCTCCCAAACAGCCTGCATGCTTTTGCAGCAACTTTTCTGTATATTTATTTAAATAGAACAGAAAAAATATCTGACATTGTTCATAGTTGGAGTAAGGGTAGAGAAAAATTCAATCAGTTCGGGCAAATCAGGTGTGCCAAAAATATTAGCAAACTGGATTTTGGTGCTGTTAAAAGATTTTATTTTTTTTTTTTTTTTTAGTAACCCCTGTATACATCTTGGAAGTTAAACTTTTGAAATATTGTAAAGAAGCTTTACTGTTTCTGTTTTTATTTTCCCCTCACAGGATCTCAGTAAAAGCCCGAAAACCATGAAAAAGCTGCTTCCCAAACGCAAACCAGAACGGAAGCCGTCAGATGAAGAGTTTGCACTCAGAAAAAGTAAGCGAGACTTGAACAAATGTCTGTGTAATACAAAGGCTGGAATTAACATCGTCTTAAATTCTATGAAAGTTAGGTGTACAATGTAAGCAAGTCATTTGCTTTCCTCTCTCCTGTCAGGAGAGAGGGGGTCGATATCTCCAAAGGATGGTTTGGTTTATTCATCTAAGGTGCTAATGTCATGGTGGGATTAGATGCTTCCTAGAGTCTTACTATTGCGTGCAGTGGATGTAACTTGGTAAGTGCCTGTTTGTTCACTGGAGAGGGAAGTGATGTTTACCATTGAGCCGTGTGCAGTGCAGTTAGGCAAATCTGTCTTAATACCGTAAACAACAATTTTGAAGATGCTGTCCCACTTTGCAGAACACTCAGTAGCTGTGTTCTTAAACTGATCTGGTTGGAGCTTCTGCTGAGCTGGGTGTTTTATGGCTGGGCATCACTGCTGGTTCGAAGACAAGTTGCTGCCATGGTCACTCTTCCTAAGATCCAGCAGTCTGCTCTCATCGCCTAGAAACAAGGTCATTTGCTGATGTCTGTGTCTAAACAAGTTGCAGAGTTTTAGGCTGCTTGAAGTCTGAAGAACAGCACTGAACTGAAAGTGGTTGATGAAAGCATAGATAAACAAGGGTCAGAATCTGGATGTTGGGGTAATTTGAGGTGGAGAGAACATTAATGTTGCCAAGTAAACACAATGTTCATTTAGTTGTCAGTGTCACTCTAATTCTTTATAAATTTGTGTTAATGAATAATACAGTTACTTGTATCAAAGAAAGATAAAATACTTAAGATGAAGGATTTTAGATGTTGGAGGATGGAGGTTCAGTAGTTGCAACCACAGCAGTAAAGCTGTTAACTTGTAAACTATTAAAGTATACTTAGTGAGAGTAGCTGAGTTCTTTTTTTGGGGGGAACAAGGATGTCTATAGCTTGCAAATATATTGTTTTATTCCTGATTAAATTAACACCTCTCAGAATTTTGTATGTAGGAGATAGCTTTCAATAAAAGGGATTTTTTTTTTGGTGGCTTTAAGTCAAAGACCATTGCTTAACAGAAGTACTTGCTGATTTTTGGTATTCATCTTTCCCCCCTCCTTTTTGTATCACTAATTAGAAGCTTGGGTTATACGTTAATGCTCCTTCAACGTTTTCTAGCTTGTGGAGCTCTAAAAGTTTTCCACTGAGGAACATCTGTGGACTTTAAAGCTCATTCATAAATAAGTTTGGATTTTATTACTTATCTTCTCTGGAATCCTAGGGATTTATGGGCTATGTTTTGATAACTGCTGTATCAAATTAGCATTATAACAGACAAACCAAAATAAGTAAGGCATTTTAACTCGGTGTCCTCGCAATACTCAATTCAGAAGTGAAATATTGGTCCGGCTACTGTAATAATATGGTGCTGCATTCTAAACACAATGAAATCCAATTATTTTTCCTGCCTTGAAAGAGAAATAAACTGCACTTTGGAGTACCTGCATCTCAAACTGTGGGGAAACTGTATTGGGTCAAGATAATTTCTCCAGCAGTCAGCTTATGAGCTGATCCTGACCAATGCTTGGGCAACTGGCTTTGTTCTGGTGATAATAAATCTGACAGAGGAATACTACTGCACTTTGATGTTGAAAGCAGTTCAGATTCAGGCTGCAGAAAATCTTCAAGGCTAGTTTTCTCCTCAAGCTTAGTGGGAAGGAAAACAGGAAAAATGCTTTTAAAACAAGAAATCGTTTTTCCTTACATTTAGGATCCTGGTTCCATCTAAACAAATGGTAGAGGTAGCTGTAGATTTTGTTTTGACTGGAATTTCACTCTGTTGCAATTTGACAACATTTTTACTGAATTCCCCAAGGAGATTTGCTGTGGAGCTCCATCTGTAGGGAAAAAAAAAAACTTTGTCATGTTAAGCTTGAATAGTTAGATTTTTTTTCAGTAGTGCTGTTTCTACTGTAAAGTCTGAGAAATTTAATTACTCCACTTTTCACAGATACACTTATGTGACACTGACATCTTTCTACCTGCACACTGGACTGTGGACATTGTACGATGATGTTCATTCTGAGTTTAATTCTCAGTAGTGTGCTGTTAAAAGGGTAGAGCTGGTATATGCAAAACCCCAAAGTTTTTAAGATTTCTGTGAATTAATATTCTTTTCCTTGATTTCTTTGATTAAATAATGAAATAATATGTATATTATAACTAGGGTATACAGGTTTTTTCAGTGTAATGGCTGTTTGATTTACAACCAGGGTGATAACACTTCAAAACATGTTCTGTCCAACTTCAGATGTTCAGAAAATTTCTTGAATGTGTGGGTAATTACTCTGACTTGGCTTTTTTCCCAAGTATTTCAAAATAGTATTTGTTCTTTTTAAACTGTTATTTTTGCTCATTGAAGTCTTATTTTTAAAATGGGATGATTAAGAGAATTTTAAAGGGTTGATTAGGCTGAACTTTGGTCTCAACTGAGGCATACTGATTTACAAAGGCATTTCTGTGTTAAGAAACAAAACTGTGTTTAACATTGTTTTTCCCATTGATTCTAGGTACAGCTGCTTTAGAAGAAGATGCTCAAATTCTTAAAGTCATTGAAGCTTATTGCACAAGTGCCAAAACACGTCAAACACTAAATTCAAGTAAGTTAGAAAATACTGAAATAGTTAACTAAAACACAAATTAGATAGGTTGCAAAAAAGAGAGAGGTGTGTGTTCACAGGCCTTTGCAAGTAGCAAGCTGGACCTGGAAGAAATATTAACCTGTTTCTGGCTTGATATCAATACTGAGTGTGTTTAAGTATTGGATGCCAAGGTCCACAATCAGATACAATAATTCTTTCAGTATTTAAAAAAAACCCCAAACAAACAAAAAAACCCCACCAGAACAAAAGTTACTACTTGTCATGAATGAGAGGCGTCTGAACTGAATACAACCAGTTACCACTCTGCTTTTTGATAAATTACAAGAAGCTGGTAAGTTGTGAGGAGGAATGAAGAACAAGTCATAATTTTGGAGGAGTGTATTTTTGTCTTGTTCTGTTCAACAAAGACTTCCACTACAGAAAAGGAACTGGACCTATAAAAATTTCTTCTATTGCTGCTAGTTGTTTTTAATATTAATTACAGATTTTAATCCCATCTCATAATTTCAGGAGAAATTGTTCTCAGATCTGTGTGTTGCTTAAAGCCATTTTTAGTTTCTCAGATCAATACCTAGCTTATTGAAAACCTGTAACGTGCCTCTGGGGTCCTACCGCATTTAATCCAAATCAAGGTTGCCATGTGGAGTTCCTCTGTGTTGTAAGTAAAACGTTGCGCAAAGCAGGGGAGTCCACCAGCATGTGTTCCATTTACACAAGGAAGGAGAAAATGCTGTTGCATTTGTTCCGATTTGCACACTTTTTGCACTGTCTGAATACAGATTTAATTCAGGGATCCTTGGAACGCAGTATAATGATCCTGAAGTACTTGTCTGGTTTTGCTGTTATCTGGAGCTACAAGAGCGGACATTTATAACTTGTTCACTAAAGCAGTTTAAATTTGTGGTATTAATCACTGTTACTGCTGCCCTCAGTGCTCTGTGCCTCTTCTGCTTCCAACCAAAAGCACTTCCAACCAAATGCTGACAGTTGAGAAATCTCAAAATGCAGTTGCAAACATAGCCCATGGATTTTCCTAATAAATGTTCACTTAGTATTACCAACTTGAAAAAAATCCAGCTAATTTGTATTTGTATGTGCTTTAAAATGGAAATACAGTCCTTCTGTTAGACTGTAGAAACATTTGAAGTAACAGCAAAAACCTTCATTTTAATTTTACAGTCTTGATGAACTGTAGGTCTTCAAGGTGATAAAATTGCCGATTTCAGAAATTAGCTGTTATTACATAATTTTTTAAATTAATAGTAATCTATTTCATAGCCCTACAGTCATAACAGTAGTGTGTTTAATTGGATAAAGGGAAACGAATGCGTTCAAACTTCTGAAGATATACTGTTGTTCCAAACACAATTAAATGAGATGATTGCTGTTTAAATGTCTTGACTGATCTGTTGATTATTTCCGAGGATAATGTGACAAGAAATGGTTGGTGAAACATTTGCACTTGCACAGTAGTGTGTGTGTGTGTGTGCAGATACAAAATTGATATTTTTTTTCTTTTTTGCGTATTTTTTTCCTTTCTATGTATATTTAAGAAATATACATAGTGCTGTGGGTATCATTGCATACATCAGAAGTCAGCAGCTTCTATTTGCTTTTAATAGCAGCAAGAAGTAATTTTTTAACTTAAGTATATGGCTGCTTTGTTTGGAAAGAATAGTGTTGTCATCTAAGATTTCAGGTTTCAGAAGATCCATTTGTAGACTGGAATTGGGCATGATTGGGGTTTTTTCCCCATTTCCAAATCGCTTCTGAGGGAGTGGTAGTCAGTGTAGAAGAATAGTATGAAAGAGTTGCCTGTTGGTCATGAAGTATGCCCTTATTTAACTCCTTTCTTACCTCTGTATTAATATTCTGCTGATCCCTCTCACCACTCTTGTGCCAATTCGCCGACCTGCACCTTAATCCAAAGCCCAAGGGGTGCTGATTTTGGCAGTGTCAG